GTCTAAAAAAAATTCACTTATCATAATGACATAGGAAAAAACGATTTTACCTAGGATGAAACAAATTTATATTTTAGAAAATTAACAAGACACAAAAACATTTTTACCAGTCCCAAAACAAATTTACAACGACAGAGTCTTTATGGAAAGGGAACGTACACACCGGAAGTGATGTGGAATGTATCACACACCAGAAAATATGAGCTTGTGTTTGACTTTGTAGACACGGGTTACCTCTATAGTCTATTACTATAAAAATCATGGTTTGACCAACTGCGATAAAACATCAGTCTCTCATTCAAAGCTATTCTGAGAAAATATCAGCCAGAGAGTTTGTACCAACATGTAAACGCGAGTACGTGGAAACAAGTTAACTTGAGTCCATAACCAATGTACGACATATATTGACTAATCTAAAAATGACCACGACGTGTAGTCCTAAATATCTCAGTTAGATAGGTCGATTGATACTCGTGCTGAATAGGGTTGGGTACCGAAATCCGGTGCCATTATAGCACTGGTAAATTTGTAACCAGTATGTACCGGATCAAATCAGCATATGAATTTCGGTGCCTAATTTCGGTGCCACTGGTGCTGCAACAGGGACTTAAGAAGCATCAAATGGGTGCATCAAAGGCACACATAGGTACGCGTTGTCGCACCATCCCTAAACATTTAATCCTAAACAACTTTGAGGAATACGGACAGGCGATGTTAGGCGTTTGTTCTTGTTGCTTAGGGAACGGACGCACACAACGCATGCAGTACAGCGCATTCGTTGAGCAAGAGTGACTCTCTTTAGATCAACACGCACAATCGTGTTCATCAAACTTGCTTAAACAAAGTGTTCTAAAGCGTATTTTACTAGCATGATTCTGACACAGCAATGTGAAGCAGATGCTTTACAAAAGTTGCGTGTAAGGGGGAAACATCTCAAACTTAATGACACATTTGAGGGCTCAAAGGCAGAGCTGTCACATGCACTCGATCTCTCGGGCACTCGCTCCCTCTGTCAGTGACTGTCAGGAACTAGTGCCTAGTTCCCCGCATTCGTCAGAGGTTGACCCCCAAATTGACAAAGGTAATAGTGATTTTAACACTTTTTAAATATAGTGTAAATAGTTTTACGTTAGGAAATGCAGTATTGAATTTACAAACAGTCGCCAAGTACCAAAGAACAGATGTAATACATTGATCAGATGTAGTTTTCAGTCACTCTTATGCAAGTCATATTCAACTTGTTTAGTTTTGCCTTCATTCATTTTTGATTTCCGTCATCAACACATGATTTATTTACAACACATTTTTAAACATAATAGTTTAACTAACTAATTTCTAATATCTACTTTTTTATCTTCCCCATGGTGACAGCCAGTGCAGAACATTTTTCTAGTTATACATAACATTTTCTTTGGTCTAGAACCACCACTGACTATAACATGTAAGCCAGGATCATGAAAGGAACATTCAAAAAGCAACTCAAGTAAACACCTTGATCATATTATTGTCTTATTCAAATTAAGGCAGATCATTAGATTACGGTCAACCATGTAAACATAGTCACCAGCCCCAACCCTAGAAAAAAGGAGTTCAGTAATTTGATGACAGCCTTTCCACAGGTTAGTAGTAAGCTAATGTAATTTTATAATGCAAATCTTAAATTCATGCTAACCAACAACTGATCAAAGGAAATATATTAATGCAATTTAAATATAAAAAATATGAATTGATGTTTACTTTAAACATTAATTATATTGTTCTATTAAAATTATTTTTTAAAAGATTTTGTCAAATAAAAGATTTTTCTAGAGTCATCCACCATAATTTTGTGGCTCAAAAGTATCGGTTCAGGCACCGGTATCATTTTAAAATGATTGATTTAGCACCAGTCTCAAAATAACCCCAAACGATACCAAACCCTAGTGCTGAACCTTCGAATCTTGTTGATAACATGTAAATATAATTATTTCTTCACATTAATTTTGGTTAAATACTGTTCTGCCACAAAAATATTAAAATCAATAATGTTTACAATGACACTGATACAAAGTAATAAGACTATTTATTTGGTATGTGTATGTTTTGTTGCTGTGAAAAAGTGCCGAATCTACCAATCTGCAAACGTGAGTAGATTACATCTGGAAAAGGGTCACCAGTTAACACAGAAACCAGTTAAACTGTAACACCAGTTTCATTCAGTTTACTTTTAAGAGTCCTCAAGCAGATGTTTACACCATGTAGACTTGACATCATTTCCACGATTACAGCGTACAGTGCCCTAGTTAAAAAAAAAAAAAAAAAAGTAACAAATTGATGAAGTATGTCTGGTGTTTCCGTCTGGTCTGCGTCCTTTAGAAACTCCAAACATGGACAACACGTAAAGCAAAACTATGTTAAGCTGCTCATGTGTTTGCCACGCAACAGGCAAAACAACCCTTCACCGCAGTCCATATTCGGTTACTTTATTTACGCCATGATCTTCACAACATTAGTTTACCACGCTCACCACCAACGAAAACAACAATTTTCCCTGTGTCACTTCCAGTTTGTGATACATTCCCTTTCTGTAAAGAATCTGTCGTTGTAAATTTGTTTCAGGTGTGGTAAAAGTGTTTTGCATCTTGCTATTTTTATTTTTTTTCTAAAACGTAAATTTGTTTCGTCCTTGGTAAAATCGTTTTTTCTATGTAAAAACTGTATTATGATAGGTAAAAACATTTTTCAAAATGTAAACTTGTCTCGAGCTTTGTAAAAGTGTTTCACACTTTGTAATGTTGTTTTGAGCTTTCCGGCTACCGTAGAATGGGTTTTAAAAATGATAAAAAAAAAAAAAAAACAGTGGAGTGTTCTTTTAACATGTAGTTGCTGACCAGGAGGATTTGCACAAAAGCAAAAAATAGACCATTGGTTTGTGAGAACCAAATCACCAATCTATTGCTTCTTTCGTATATCTTACATTACATGCTGAGGGAAAAAACATGTTTATCTTAATGACAAAGTTTCAGTCAAATTTTCCATAAGTAAAAATATTCTCCAAAAAATCTCAAGCGTCACCCTGAAGTGACAACTCACGGAAAAGGAACAAAGGGTTAGCATGTAGTTTGCAATGTGACAAGGCTCTGAGAAAGTGAATCATGAATGCTTTGCGATTCTCTTACTCTTGCCGGCTTCAATGGCCTCGTAAGATCAGAAGGCTCCAAAATGTACTCTCTCATCAGGGGTGCTCCTGTCATTAGTCTGGGATTCATTGGCGTTGATCATTAGCTTGTAGCATGTTGCGTAACAAGGCTTTGAAAAAGTAAAATAATCAAGGATGGATAAAATCAGCAATTATAGAAAGATTTGCAGGTGAAACTGGCTTTTAGCACTACGGATACCGACTTTGAGCACTTGCTCTGGGTATGAACCGACAAAAGTTTTGCTATCTTTTCCACCTTGCTCATTTGTCTGTCTGCTTTCTTTCTTTCTATAGCTAGCTTTAAGCGGTATGATCAAGGGCTTCGTAACATCAGAAGCCCTCCTAATACACTCTTTCATCAGGTGCCCTCCTGTCTCCAGTGTGGGATTCGCTTGTGATGATCATTCAGGGAAAGTTCTGGGTGAGAGGAGACCAACGCAAATCTCCAAGTTGTACAGAATAAATCCCTGTGTTGGTCACCGGTTGTTCATAGCTGCGTAGGGGACTGCCTCATAAAGCACCGAAAATAAAAATAAAATGAGAATCAAACATTACAGTGATGACATTTTCTAAAGTAGGGTGTTTTTGACTATTAGCAAGAGGTGAAAATAAAAACAAAACAATGTATTATAACTGAGACCAATGAGCAAATCAAAGAGTACATTAATCGTCCCACACAAGGGAGCTCAAACAACAAGTGATTCACCACTATTAAAAAGTTTTACCAACACACATGTACAAAACTAGTCCTTATAACCAGGTTCACTCAAGCTATTTGCAAATGCAATCTAGTTAGCATATCCCCACCCCATCCCGTTACCATCTTCAGAACCCACCATTGTCCACCCTTCGTCAACATATTCCAATTCCTCCCGTGAGCCAATGTTTCCGTGAACAAATCCGAATGGGGAAGAAAATGATTTTTCGTTTGTTTTAAATAATGACTTAATCAGCAGAACAGCCACCAAGCAGATAAATTGTCATGCGCGTCGTGCTAAAAATATCCAGCCTCCCTTTGAGTCCACCAGTTTCAGTATAGACAGCACTTGTGTGATGAAGCTGTATCTGCCAGGAAGCCAATAAATTCCCCGCTACGCTCTTGAGGCAGATTCCTCAGTATCAACGCCCCCCAACCAGGGCTTAAAGAGCATGGGTGCTTTGTGTACATATCTAGATATGTAAATATGTCCTATACAATAAAAGTGTTCCCCCAAAAATAAACTGACAAAAAGAATTCAAAGACATTCAGTGAATGTCTCTATTGTGCATATTCTTGAGGACTTTTTCCCATAGTATTCCGCATTCTGCAGCAGAAGAAGAACACATGCCCAAATTAGGTAAGCAACGTCTCCCGTCTGCTCTGAAGAGAGTAATCTACAATCCAGTGCCCCGGGAAAACAATATGTTTCCTTTTGTTTACAAAGGGCCTCCCACACGTCATCTCTTCTGTGCTTCCATCGTTTTCTCTCCGGGTAACTGAATCAAACCATTCCTCAAAGAATCCCAGACTGATAGCTGTTTCCAGGAAATGGCCCTGGTTTTGTCACAATATAAGGGTAAAAAATCATCTGTTTGTTTGTCATTACATCAGAAATAGTTGTCATTTTTTTGTCCTTTTTTTCTCCTTTAATAAAAAAAATGATAGTTTTGCTCCCGAGGAACTAAAATCAGCATCGTTATTTCCGTTTCCTCTGAGCACCTGGAGTAAAGATATTCCTCGACTAAGTGCAATCCCCTTCGTCCAATGTCACACCTGTACTCCACACGTACGGGAGTCTATGTGTGTGTGTATGTATGTTTGTGTTTGAGAACATGTCTGTGGCTATACTCTAGTGGTGGAGTGTGAATGAGGGTGTGGATGGGGCAGGGTGTTATTCTGTCCGCTGGAGTAACTGTTGAAGGGGTGTAAGGAGGTGAGGCCTGGCATGCTGTTGGGTATCATAGTGATGGTGTTGGGGGTCATAAGAGGTATGTCGTCCGGCGAACGGCGCATGGCTAGTGTGTAATCGGGTGGGCAGGCAGTTCTCAGGACCACTTCATGCGGGTGCATGGCCTCCCGGCACTCCCGCTCCAAGTCGCTGTGTTTCATTTGCAGAGACATAATCTCCTCTTCTTGTGTATGGGGCAGCTCATTAGCTGTGGTCCTCTGTGGGCTACAACGTCGGTGGACCTCGTGCCTTCGCTTGTCCTTCTTGTAGTAGAGTGCAGCGAATGCCAAGATGTTGAGGAACAGCAATGAAGCACCGACAGCAATAGTGACACTTAGTTCAGTGGAGTAGTCCCGTTGGTCAACTAAAAAAGGTTGGTTCTGGTTCTGGTTGTGGCTGTCCTGCGTTTCAGTGGGAAACGGCGTAGGGTAGGGTCTCTTGGTGTTGACCGGGATCTTCTTTGGCGTACGGGGAGTGACCTCAGGTGGAGGCAACTTGGTGGTGGAAATTATCTGGCTGACCTCGTTGAGGCTGTGGAGATGAGGCACCAGCTCTAGCCATAAGTTGACCTTATTGGCACGGTAATGTTCCTTGACACGGGGCTTCAAGCCGATGTGCAAGTAAAGCTGGTCCTTTTGGTTGTAACGTGTCCAGGCCACCTCCTCAAAGCGGTTAGGCTTGGTGTGAATGAACTTGGTGTCTTGCGGAACTGGCTGGTTGGGGTCACTGAAAGATAAAAGGAAGATTTCAACACACCCCACGCCAAAATATAACATCTTTCAGATTTGTACATGGCATTCACTGAGCAAAAAATCCACAACCTATTACAGACAAGTCTTAGGAAGTGCCTGGAGACCCCTAATATTCTCAGAATGCTCATTGGGGTCTCCTGACACCTGTCTTTAAAATTACCAAGAATTAGTATGAGAGAAGAAATGACACATTTGCACACAAATGGATTTGTTGTCCTCCCGTGAGACCGTTATGATTCTAGGTAGCAATGTCATATAAACACTAAACTCACTCTAAGTGATTATCATTATCTTATTCGCTGCATTACAGCTAAATTGAAGCAAACTAAGTAGCTGTTCCATAAAAAGCAGTTACAAAAATGCAATGTAGCATAACCTTGGGAATTGTATGTATTTGTGAGTGAGAATGGATTAACAAACAATTAACCAATGATTAAACCTTAGCAACCCTGTTGCACTGTTCCCCGGCAACAACTGGGTATTATACTGTAATCAATAGCTCTCAAGTTATGAGACTCATTGGTGGTCTTACATTAAAACAAACTCACATTCACATTCTCATGTCTCTGAATTCCAACTAATAGCCATATTGTTTGCCTCTAGGCTTAGAGATTATAAACAATGTCCAGTTGTTTTGAGACTCACCCAGTCTTGGCAAAGTTGGTCCAGTAGGTCATTACGACTGCACTAAGCATAACATCATTTTTGGAGAAGTTACATGGGAAAAGCTCAGTTGGACCGATCATGGGCAGCCCAAACACATAAGGGATCTCATCGCCATGTGCAGCATCAGCCCAGGGTGGCACCTGCTCTGTTTGGCAGTGATGGTAGAAGGCATAAAAATAAGTAGGTGAGCCAAAGCTAGAGTGTAGGTCTGCTGTGGCCACTGCTGGTGCAACCCACTGATGATCTGTGAAGAGTGCCAGCAGGGTCTTTCTTCTAGTCTCTGGGTTGTGGCGGTCAGCCCAGTCAGTGTACATGAATTTAATGGTCTCCCGCAGAATGTCCTTCCCCTCAGGGTAGCCATATAAATCATCCACAAAACTTGACACGGCATAGTCAAAATCGTTGGCCTGCACACCGTTCTCGTTGTCCACTATAAGTTCCACAAATTTCAGTCCCTCGCCTTGGTTGACGCCCAGCATGATGTCATAGTTGAGGAACTCCCCTTGTTCCATGAGGATCTGAGGGTCATCGGGTATAACATCACCATCAATTACAGGTCCAAAGGCGATGTGGTAGCGAGCAGGCTGGATGTCCTGCTCCACTAGTTCTTTGTAGTGTTTTTTCTGTAGGCACTCAACCATCTCCACTGTATCTTTGAGGTTGCACCCCACCTTCTTGGCCAGCATGCGGGCATACTTTGCCGGCTGGAAGCTGACTGCCCAGCTGGACAAGGCTGTGCCACTTTGGGCTATTGCCCTTTGGAAAAGACCTGTATAGGAGAAATAAGACAGAATCACAAACAGAGCAACCACAAAATGCTACATTGGGGTTCACATATCTAAGACCACTACTGCTTTTTTTTATCTCAACATAAATGCTAAACCTTTTTTTCTTTACAGGTTTAAATGAAAAACATCAAATGCAGATTTCCAATGTGGCCTTAGACATTTGGACCCTTCTGTATGCTATTTATACACAAAGTGCTCCTTAGTATGCAAGCTGGAGCAAATGAACACATCCCGGTTTAGCTGTTTTTATGCAAATCTTAAATGGTTTGGGAAAACAGGCAAAGCAAGTAAATATGCTAATGCTGACGAACTTCAACTCGTCAAAGAGCTGATCAACATTTCAATTTATCATGTAATTTTAGCATGGGACTTTAGACATATTTCTAGAAATTGATTACAACGCATTAACAATCATTAGCTGTTTGCACTCTATAAACCCTTATCATCTATACCTGTTGGCAACAGAAAATTTGACCCATACCATTAAAGAAAAGCAGATATCATGCACAAACGTCAAAACAAAAGAGCAAGTGAATGAGCAGGGGTGAAAGTGTGTGTATGTATGAGAGAGAGATAGACAGATAGAGCAAGAGAAAGATAAATTGAGTTACTCTGTTACCATGACAACCCCAGGGATCTTAGTCTTAGCAGTGCAGTTATGGGTAAAAACATATATATATATATACACACACACATACATATAGTTGAAGTCAGACTTATTAGACCCCTTTGAATTTATTTCTCATTCATTTATTAATTTTTTGTCAGCTTAGTCTCAATATTAATCCAGGATTGCCACAGTGGAATGAACCGCCACCTTATCTAGCACGTTTTTAAGCAGCGGATGCCCTTCCAGCCGCAACCCATCTCTGGGACACACCCACACACTCATTCATACACACACTCATACACTACGGACAATTTAGCCAACCCAATTCACCTGTATTGCATGTCTTTGGACTGTGGGGGAAATCTGAGCACCCGGAGGAAACCCACGCGAACGCAGGGAGAACATGCAAACTCCACACAGAAACACCAAATGAGCCGAGCCGAGGTTCGAACCAGCGACCCAGCGACCTTTTTGCTGTGAGGGGACAGCACTACCTACTGCGCCACTGCATAGCCTGAATATATTTCTTCTTTTTTTTTTATATTTTCCAAATGATGTTTAACAGAGCAAGGAAATTTTCACAGTACGTCTAATAATATTTAATCTTCAAGAGAAAGTCTTATTTGTTTTATTTTGGCTAGATTAAAAGCAGTTTAAAATTTTTTAAACGTCATTTTAGGGACAAAATTATTAGCCCTACAGAACAAGCCATTGTAATACAATAAGTTGCCTAATTACCTTAACCTGCCTAGTTAACCTAATTAACCTAGTTAAGCCTTTAAATGTCACTTTAAGCTGTATAGAAGTGTCTTGAAAAACATTTAGTAAAATATTATTTACTGTCATTTATTAAAAATATTATAATTAGAAATGTGTTAAAAAAAAAAACCTTCTCTCCGTTAAACAGAAATCTGACTTCAGTTGAAGTCAGAATTATTAGCCCCCCTTCGAATATTTTTTTCTTTTTTATCTTTTACCACAATTATGTTTAACAGGGCAAGAACATTTTCACAGTATAAATAAGAAAGTCTTATTTGTTTTATTTTGGCAAGAATAAAAGCAGTTTATATATATATATATATATATATATATATATATATATATATATATATATATTTATTTTTATTTTTTATTTTTTTTCTGTAGACTACAAAACAAACCAGTGTCACAGTATACAATAACTTGCCTAATTACTCTAACCTGCCCATTTAACCTGATTAACCTAGTTAGGCCTTTAAATTTCACTTTAAGCTGTATAGAAGCGTCTTGAAAATACCCAGTAAAATATTATGTATTGTCATTAAGGCAAAGATAAAATAAATCAGTTATTAAAAATGAGTTATAAAACTGTTCTGCTTAAAAATGTGTTGAAAAAAAATATCTCCGTTAAATAGAAATTTGGGAAATAAACAAATAAACAAAATAAACTGTGAACCAAATAAATTAAATAAACAAGGGGTCTAATAATTCAGGGTGGCAATTATGACTTCAACTGTATTCTTAAACACATGGGGAGGAATGGAAATGAAATGGAAATAAGGGTATGCTTCAGTTTGCAATTCAACAAAATGGTGACAATTGTGCACAGTATGAACACACACACACACACACACACACACACACACATATATATGCATGTATAAATATATAATGTATTTACCCTTTTTATGCCAACGGAAGGTGAATGCTGTATTTGGACAGTGTGCTAGCAGTGTGCTTGCTGATGCTGATGTGTATGGGCTTGACTAAATTAAGATGGAAGCATGAAACGACCCAGGGATATTTAATGTATGTGAACACTGATACCAGGTAAAATGGAGAGAGTTAGCAGTTTAAAGCATGATGGGAAATAAAAATAGGTTGGGCTGATAAAGAAACTACTGCGCTACTTGAACTGTTGCATCAAACTTATGCATTGAGGAACAACATTTACTTTGTCAAAGATAACACAAGAAAACATCATGCAGTTTTTAAAATAAGGTTTGTATTATAAAGAGGGCGACGCAGTGGCGCAGTAGTTAATGCTGTCATGTCACAGCAAGATGGTCGCTGGTTCAAGGCTCTGATAGGTCAGTTGGCGTTTCTGTGTGGCGTTTGCATGTTCTGCCTACGTTCACTTGGGTTTCCTCCGGGTGCTCCGGTTTCCCCCACAGTCCAAAGACATGTGGTACAGGTGAATTGGATACAGGCTAAATTGTCCATAGTGTATGAGTGTGTATGGATGGTTCCTAGAGATGGGATTATAGCTAGAAGGTCATCCGCCTGCGTGAAACGTGCAAGTTGGAGTTCATTCCGCTGTGGCGAACTCAGATTAATAAAGGGACTAAGCCGAAAAGAAAATGAATGAATGAATTATAAAGGGAAAACAAAATTAAAAACTACATAGCCCAGTCTGAAAAAAGTGTTTGCCCTTATTACAACATATCTCTAGTTTATCACACTTGTGTAAAAGTTTCCTAGGCCTGATTATTGACAAAAATCACTTAAATAGGACCTGTCTGACATAATTAAGTATACCAAATGATCCCCAATTGCTAGACATTATGCAGAGATCCAAAGGAAAAACACATAAGAAAGAAAATAATTGAGATCTACAAGTCTGGAAAAGGTTATAAGGTCAATTCTAAAGCTTTGGGACTGCAGCAAACAACAGTGAGAGCCAGTATTTACAATTGGAACAGCGAAGAACCTTCCCTAGAGTGGCTGGCTGACCAATATTAGCACAAGAGCACAGCAACAACTCATCCAAAAAATTACAAAAGACCAAACAACAACATCCAAAAACTGCAGACCTTACTTGCCTCAGTTAAGGTGCTTTTTATGACTTAACCATAAGCAATAGACTAAGCAAAAACAGTTTGCCTTACAGGGTTCCAAGACAAAAACCACAGCTGAGCGGGGGGAAAAAAACAAAGCTGGCTTGTCTCGGTTTTGCCAGAAATTGGTCTGGGACCATTTCATTTGGGGTACTTGAGGCGTAATTGTTAGGGAGTTGGACTTCCTGTTCCAAACAGGAATTAAAGATAAGGATAGTGAATAAACCAACCTCTCTCCATCTTCTATACCCAACTAAAGTTTCCTTGAGCAAGGCACCTGACCTGTAATTGCTCCCCGGACGCTGGAAGCAAAAGCTGCCCAATAGTCCTGTGTCTGTGTGTATACTGTTTTCTTTGTCTGGGTGTATGCTCACTGTGTCTGTCTGGGTGTGCTTTACTTCTCAGTCATGTGTGTGTGGACTAAGAAAGCAAAGAATCAGTTTTGAGTATGGGTAACTGTATTGCTGTATTGCTGCTAAGCGATCTGGAAGACATGGTGTGCTAAATGAAATTTTCTGTGCACCAAAAAATTGTGAAGTTAAATATCAAGCCATCTGTTAGTGACCTCAAGCTGAAGCAAATTTGGGATCTGCAGCAGGACAATGATCCCAAGCAACCTGCAAGTACATTGCTGAATGACTGAAGAAAAACACGATTTTGGAGTGGCCTAGTCAAAGTCCTGACCTGAATTCAATTGAGATGCTGACCTTGATTTAAAAAGGTGGTTCATGTTCAAAAATTCACAAAATCTGGCTGAACTACAACAATTCTGCAATGTTGAGTGGGCCATAATTCCTCCACAGCAATGTAACAGGCTTACTACAAGTTATCGAACATGCTTGACTGAAGCTGTTGCTTCTAAGGGTGGCCCAACCAGTTATTAGGTTTAGGAGGCAAACACCTTTTCACACAGGGTTATGAAGTTTTGTATTTTCCCCCTTAATAATAAAAACCTTCATTTCGAAATTGCATGATGTGTTTAATTGTGTGATCTATGACTAATATTTAAATCCATTTGATGATTTGAAACATTAAAGTGTGACAATCATGCCAAAAAATAAAAAAAAATCTAATTAATCAGTACGACAATATACAGTTGAAGTCAGAATTATTAGCCCTCCTGAACTATTAGACCCCCTGTTTATTTATTTTTTCTTCAATTTCTGTTTAACAGAGAGAAGATTTTTTCAACATATTTATAAACATAATAACTCATCTATAATAACTGAAATTTTGTCTTTGACATGATGACAGTAAATAATATTTTACTAGATATTTTTCAAGACACTTCTATACAGCTTAAAGTGACATTTAATGGCTTAACTATGTTAATTAGGTTAACTAGGCAGGCCAGGTAATTCAGCAAGTTTATTTCTAACAATGGTTTGTTCTGTAGACTTTCGAAAAAATATAAAAAGGGGCTAATAATTTTGTCCTTAAAATGGTGTTTAAAAAATTTAAAACTGCTTTTATTCTAGCCGAAATAAAACAATTAAGACTTTCTTCAGAAGAAAAAATATTATCAGACATTCTGTGAAAATTCCCTTGTCCTGTTAAACATAATTTGGGGAATATTTACAAAAGAAAAAAAAATCAAAAGGGGGCTAATAATTCTGACTTCAACTGTATATTATGGGTGCAACAACACAGATTCCTTATGGTTCAGATTGTTTTTGGTTTTCGGTTACAATTTTGGTAATGTTCGGTATATTATATGTTCAGTAAAAAAAGCACTGTCAAATAAAAATAAAAGAAAATAAAACTAAAAGTAAACTACAATACAAAATGAATACAATAGAGTATAGATAATACTAAATTAAGCGGTTGGTTTTCAGTTTTTTTATGTACCTTATAATAGATTTCACTTACATAAACTGAAAAATATTAAATACGATACTGCATATAATCCTCACTGAATAAATAAATTTAAAAAAGATTAATGATTACTAGGCTAGTTATTCAGTCAATTAAAGGTAGATTTCATTATCTTTTGCTGCTTGATTATTATTAAAAACAAAAACAGCAAAATTAAGGTGTTTTTACTTCCAGATGCGGCACAAAGAGAAAGTTACAGAGAACTCAATTTCCAGAATGTTTACATTCTTAGGCATAACCAATTGAATGCTCATCAAGTCGGATGGGTGGACAAAATTTTAGGTCATAACATCAAGAAGCAAAACTTTGAGTGCTGTAATTTTCATTCAGCTGTTCAGATGAACACATCTCAGATCTCCCGTGTAAGTTACATGTGCTCACATTCTGACATTTGGCTCACGTCATTTTCATGTGAAAGTGTCTCCTACTTTTGTGCTCACTGATGGGACATTTACTCATGGTGAGCCGTGTTTTAGCACATGGGCATGCATTTTAACATGCACAGAGCCAGTTCAGAAGGTAATTATAGGAATAGGGAAAATGCTAAATACAATTCTTCAAATTTAATGCAAAACTGGAAAACCACAATGACCACATGTTCCCCACTATTCTCTCTTATACAGTAAAACAATCATACAAAACTATATATGGTAACACTTTATAATAACTACACACTATGAATCATTTATTAAGCATTAGCATCTTATGAATTCATTATTTGTTAAGCAATAACTCTACATTAATAAACGTCATTAAGCCGTTTATAACTGCAGCTACAAATGCTTTATTCTTGATTTACAAACACATTTTTAATGTGCTGAATAATTGTACTTTCATACTTTGTTAATATTTTATTTTTCATGACTAAATTAAGTGTTACATTATTTACAAACCATTTGTATTAAAGTGTAGCTGGAGGTTTTTAAGATCATTCAGAATGAGTTAGTAAATTATTAATAGACTATTGACATCAATGTTTATATATCATATTATTCAGGCATATAGTAATAGTTACTATGTAGGTTAATAAATGCTTTATTAACACAACTTCACGCAGTTTGGTGACCTAATCTAAAATAGGAACTATTTATGCTTCATAAATCCCTTAGAAATGACAATTACAGGCTCAGTATCAAATAAACAATAATCTTCGCAATCTTATCTAAAAAAAAAAATAATAATACTGTAGAGTTTAAACATTACTGAATGACAAGTGTCACATTACGACATAAAATTGGATAAAACAACAACTATATAATAATTTACCTGAGCCTTTAATTGTCTTGTATATGGGATTTATAACGCATAAATAGTCTTCACTTTAGATTAGGTCACAAAACTGGATGAAGTTAATAAAGCATTTATTAACATACAAAATAACTATTAGTATTTGTCTGAATAATAAGACATATGAATGCTAGTTTGAATAGTTTATTACTAACTTATTCTGAATGATCTTAAAAACCTCCAACTACTCTAAAATAACTGGTTTGTAAATAATGCACTACTTAATTTAGTAATGAAAATAAATTATTAACAAAGTATGAAAGTACAATTATTAAGCAGATTATAAATGTTTTGTAAATCAAGAATAGAGCATTGCTGCAGTTATAAACTGCTTACTAACATTTATTAATGTAAAGTTAATGCTTAACAGATATTGAATTCACAATTAGCTATTGCTTAATAAATGGCTCATAGTGTATAGCTATTAAAAAGTGTTATCCTATATTTTAGCTACTGTTACAAATGAGCTAACATGAGCGCCTCATATTTCAGATTTGATCATTTATGTACTTATTTCAGTTATTTTTATTATATGATTCATTCATTTATTCATTCATTCATTCATTGATGTTTTATAACTGGAATATTATAAATTATTGTTTTATTTACAACTTTAAATGCATACATTGATAGTTCTACACTGCAAAACAAAAACAACACTGACATGAAACTTCAACCATTACTAAAAACAACTAACCAACCACACAACCAACAAAACAAACAAACAATGTAATAAATGAGCTCATAACACAAACAGTTGTTGCATGCAGACTTAAAAAAAAAAAAAACATTCAGAAGGTAAAACCTCTGCATTGTACCTTTGGTTGAATTGCTCCAACGGTTACCTTCAGAATAATGGGAAAGAGTCAGCAGGTTGACACAGGAGGCCCCGGCCCCAGACCCAAATACAGTAATGCGTAAAGGGTCACCCCCAAAGAAAGCAATGTTTTCACTTGTCCAGCGCAGGGCCTGGATTAAATCTAGAAGTCCATAGTTTCCCTTGGCAGCTTGGTCTCCCGTGCTCAAAAAACCTGCAGAAAGAAGAAAAAATCGAATGAATGTTTGTGTGCATTGATATGCAACTTAAAAAAAAAAAAAAAACATTCAAACTTTGAAAGCTATTGAAATGCTCAATAGCAAACTGCAGCTAAAAGTATATCAGAGAAACTGAGACATTTTATATATATATAGTGCCAACCCTGTTCCTGGAGAGCCACCTTCCTGCAGATTTCAGTTGCTACCCATATCATACACACCTGAACTAATTACTTAGAACCTGAACACCACGTGATAATTACAGGCAGGTGTGTTTGATATGGGTTGCAACTGAAAATAAACAGCTTAAACCAGCCTAGGCTGGTTGGCTGGTTTTAGCTGGTCGACCAGGCTGGTTTTAGAGGGGTTTTGGCCACTTCCAGGCTGGTTTCCAGCCATTTCCAGCCTGGTCTTAGCTGGTCAGGCTGGGAGATGACCAGCTAAAATCAGCTTGACCAGCCTAGCCAGGCTGAGAGCCCAGCCAAAACCAGCTATGTCCAGCTTAAACCAGGCTGGTCAAGCTGGTTTTAGCTGGATTAAGCTGGTCATTTTTCAGCCTGACCAGCTAAGACCAGGCTGTAAATGGCTGAAAACCAGCCTGGAAATGGCCAACACCCCTCTAAAACCAGGCTGGTCAACCAACTAAAACCAGCCAACCAGCCTAGGCTGGTTTAAGCTGTTTTTTCAGAAGGGAAAGCCCCTATTATTGCATGCTAGCAGTGCGATTCTTAACTCTGAACTGCATTAATCAACAAAACACTTCTGTGGTTTCGATATTAAAACTGCTTTGTCTTTCATAAACAAACAAACAAAAAAAAAAGGGTTTGTTCTTCTTCCTTGCTTTGGTCAGCCAGTGGAACCACATCTCTCTGGGGTCACTAGCTGTTGTTTTACCCACTTAAGTGCACTAAAATTAATATAAAGTTTGCGGTTTTAAATTACAAGTGTCAGTGAAAAAAAAAAAATCATGATTACCCAGAAAGTGGTGCATTTTAATGGAAAACTACTCACTAGCTACTTTACTATAGTAGCTTATCAAGGGAATATACAGTATGTACATCCCAGTGATGCTTAAGGGATACCAATTGTGTGCATTTTCGCTGAAAAGATGACCGTTTGGGTTCTTATAATTACCCTTGCAGTTCCAGAACAAAAAAATAATATAACAATACAACAATTGCTTTACAGTAAGCTCATTTACAGATGCAGATGACAATGAAGCAAGAGACTCCAAAATTACTTGGACTCTGTACACAAAGCGTACATACAAATCCATCTGACCCTTCCTCCGCTGCCTTCTTTTTGTTAATTGAGTTCTTTATTGGATTTAATTAATCTAGTTGTGTTGCTACATCAGAAAGTTGATCTCCTGGAAGTGGCCGTCGAATACAAGCACGCATTTAATTGATTCCATTTAGCCAAGGCAGTGTGCAGAGCAAATCAAAAAGACCAGGCACAGGCTGCAAAATGATTAGCAATCAAATGGCAGGCTGTCAGGTGCTCATGCCTGTGGCGCGGAGCCGTGAGCACATTTGGCTGCTAACACAGGCAGGCAGCGGCCCACTTTCAATCCTCATGCATGCAGAGAGGTGCAATCCAATCATGGAGGAACAAAAAAAGGCCTCCCTTAGCTCGGACAGTGAATAGTCTGGGCTTGTGAATGGAAGTGTGTTCTGTACAATGTGGAGAAACAGATCCACAACAATGCGCTTTAATGAGCTAGGCAATAATCATGGATTTTTTTTTTTATATATATCACAGCAGACGAGGACAACAGTGCTTTAGATTTGCTGTGCAAGCGGTATTGGCTCATTTCTGAGATTCAGGGTCAGCTAAACACTGTCCATGGCACCTCGGAATGGAACAATATTTCTAGGGATGCACATTTCTATTCTTTCTTAGAGATTTATAGAACAGTTTGCTGTGGTTCTCAAATCTGATTAGTGCAGAGGTAGGACTGGTAGATTAATCAAAGGCAATTTTCATTTGCATTGTGTCAGTAAAGCTGGTTCTAATAGACCTCCTTTATGTGCTTGTAGGTGTCACAAGAATTAGCTGGAGTGCACATCAGACTCACTAGAGCAGTGGTGCCCAAACTCGATCCTGGAGGGCAGGTGTCCTGCATAGCTCCAACTTCCTCAACACACCTATCAGCAAGTATCTGGTATACCTAGTGTTACGGCCCATTGTCTGTGTCTGTTTTGTTTTTGTTTCTCTCTCTATATCTGTCATTGTTTAGGCCCGCCCAGTCTCAGCACCCTATTAGTTGAGCTAGATGTCAATCATCATTACTACTTCAATGAAGTCATCATCAATGCCCAATCAGATGCAGAATTCCCCCTTTAAAAGAAAGCCGGCAAGGAAGAATGTTAGCTTGCTTTCGCTTGCTCACAGTTGTCATGATTACCAGTGATCTAACCACCAGAGATCGCTGGTACACATTCATTCTCACATGAACTACAAATCTGCCATGGTATGGACTACAACATCCTGTCATGCCACACACACACACACACACTCACACACACACACACACACACACACACACACACACACACACACAACTAGTTCTAGATCCAGAATGATTACACTCTCACAGCGGAAGCTACTCACACACTGATTATTTGGACTATTTAAACCCCTCTATTCCACACACATAATGCTGAGTGTTTTTTAGCTGTTGCTGTCTTTATGTAAGCGTTTCTCTTTGTTTCCTGTGTATTTGATCTTGGTTTGTTTATCGTATTTTGACACTTTGCTGCCTGCCCTGAACCTTTTGCCTTGTTTTTGTCACGGTACGCTGACAAAGACGGAGGATCCAAGTGCAGTTTAATGATGGTAATGTCTTGAGAAAACTCAAGAATTCCAAAAATCAAAGTAACAAAATAACAAGAAATAAACAAAACAAGGAACTATGACAGATTACTAGAATCAAGACTCAAGGACTAAGGCAGGATACAAGAAACTTCTCAGAACAACATACTAAACACGACGAACAACTAACTAACAAACAATGGAGAAATGGCTGTATATATAGTCCAAGAAATCAACGGGAAAACGGAGACAGCTGTGTATTGCAAATCAGTATAGATGGAAGACCGGGTGTGTGCACGAAGGAATGTATGGACTTGTAGTTCTTGGCAGCTGTAGTTCGTCCTCTTAGTTCATCTCGAACTACAGCACCCTCTGGAGGATGCATACAGTCATGACAGTTTTTGGATTTTGCTTCTGGATTGTCTACTACACTGTTTATGCTGGTATTTGACCCTTGCCTGATTGACCATTTTCATAATAAAGCTGCATTTGGAACCACTCCAGTTTGCATAGCATCCCTATGCAACAACAGTTATGTGTTTTGCTGAGTTGTTTGACAGTTTATTGTGTAAAGTGTGTTTTCTGTTATCATTTGTGCTGGAATCTACCTTAAAAGAGTTTTCTAATCATGCTTTTCTTTCTGATAGCCAGATCCACAACATCAATAGGACTTAGAGGACAGGGTAGTTGTCATGACCTACATGCTGCTACACAAAGGATTTGCAAATATATTAAACACACTAGATTAGAAGTGTGCGCCTCTCATTGTAAGTTTTGCTATATGTTTTGGTTAGAAGAATAGTTTAGATAGGGTGTGAAAACACTGAAGACTTTTTTCTTTCTTTTCTAAGTTAGTTTAGAGATTGTGGGTTTTCAGTTAAAGTTGTGTTCTGTTATATTATTTTATTTTCTTTGCTGCCGCTTTTGTTCCTCTTTCTCGTCATTACAACCATTTATCTTATTTTTGTATATACTTTGTTTTCATTTACTCGCTTTGTATAATAAATACTATTATTGAGACATAATTGGATGCTAGTCTGTTCCATTGCCACCACCGTTCAAAAAGGGGTCATACAATTTCAAATGTTGATGTAACCTTAGTGTTTCCATCTTAAGTAACTGTAACACAAACAGCTAACTTGATTAGCCATTTCTGCTGTGTTTAGTTGGTGTTAAAACTAAAACCTGCAGGACAACGGTCCTCAAAGATCGAGTTTGGGAACCCCTGCACTAGAGGGCACTCCAGATATGTACACTACTCCAGCCATTCACTACACACGCCCCCATGCTTTGCATTAGTTCATGCTCTTATTTCCTGCTGCATGTGTTATCAATTTGGACACTTACACAAACACACACAAATATAGCAATAAATAATCACTTACAAATTTCACACACAATATTTAAGCATCAAAGACACACTCGTTCATTGCTCAGTGTTGTTTCATGTTGGACATTATCTATCATGTTCTTGTGTTCTGGGTTTTCTCTGTTATGCATTGTTGTTGCCTTTGGACTGTTTTCGGATTAGGATTGTTTTCTGCCTGCCCTCGACCTTCGCCTGTCTCTTCGTCTACCCTTCTTGGATTACCCCTGCCCCCATTGTTTCGCTCCTATTTTGACCCCTGCCGGCTGATTATTCTATTAAAGTCACTGATAAGCAACATAAAAAAACAGTTTAACTGGATAATAATGACATCGATAATCGAGATAATCGATCTGTGGTAATGAATCTGTTTGAGTAGCCACTCAGGGAACTATATCTGTGTATTAAATGCTACATGTGAAAATACCAGAACTATATTGACATGTTTTTGTCAAATTCAATCCATATCTGCAGTGGGATGTTTGAAATACCTTCTTATGTGAGATGATTCCTTCATCTATGTGAGATGATTCCTTCATTCCTAACCAGTCATGCTGAATCAACGGAATCAGTTAAGTCTTCTGTTTTTAATTCAATGCTGTGAGGTTTTCCAGCATTTCTTCTTTGAGTGTTTGATATTTCTGCATGCGAGCGTCCTCTGGCCTTTGAAGGAGATTTATTACTCATCACACTACCATGCTTCCTTTACAAGATATGCATGATGCTATATCATCTTTGTAGTTTCATTTAGATAAATTGCCCAGCCCTATAGAGTTTTTGTCTAGTAACTGCTTCACAGTTTGTATTACAGCATTT